TGTTCCTATCGTACTCAAGGACCACATCCCAGAAATAATTCCGAGCACCTAGAAAAGTGTCGAAAGGGTGTCGAAACAGTGTCGAAGCAGTGTCGGACGAGTGTCTCCCATGGCCCGACACGTGAAAAACCTTAGAGTTTCGGTACTTTTCTGGTGCTCATTTTTTTCTGGTGACCAAGGCTAAAATAGCTTGAAACATCATAAACTAAGATCCCCTCCCCGTTTGTTTGTTACCATTACGGGGGGGAATGGGGGGCGACCACTCCGCAACCGACGTTACGGGTTCAGCGAATTGAGCAAATCTCTAGGAAGTCCTGGCGGTAGGCTTTGGGCAACCTTCGGCCTCCAAGCTGCCCTCACCCAAATCATCCGTTACCGACAATTCTCGATAACGCTCTGGACGAACCGGTCGCGACCGCAATTCGGACTCCGATCGCGAATACGAGTCGTCGGCGGCCTCCTCCGTTATCGAAACTCGACCCCCTCTGGTCGCGACCGAACTCTGGCGCGCCCGAAACCTCTTACCGCAGAATTCAGGTCGCGAATGATCTGGAGATAAGACCCCAGTCGTGAGCCAACGGCTCGGGATGAAGAGCCAGTCCACGGGAACCTCTATGGAGAGCCAAGCTGCGAATAGAATCGCGACGTCGGGCTTCAGGGGAGGAGGAGGGGGGGCCAGGAGGAGGGACTGCCGCAGGAAGGACGGGCGGAGGGTGGGGGCCCACTGACGAAGAAACTTTGCGCAGGGCATGGACAGCAACGAACGTCTGCTGAGGGCATGGACGGTCGCCAGAGAACGGCTCCTCCCGACAGGCTCAGTGTCTGTGGCCGGAGCCTTGCCGTAGCAAGGAACCTTGATGGAATAATCACTCCGAATTTCAGACTGAGTGCCATGGGGCGCACCCCCACTGACAGCCTCGTCCCTTGCATGCTCCTCCTTCTCACCCTCGTCCTCCCCGAAATCTCCGTCGGGAACGCGCTGCCCGGATCAACGTTGACATGGAACAACCAAGGCCATGCCGCGAACCCAGGACGGCCCCGAGGTACCATCCAAACCCGGGCAAGCGCAAAGTTCTGCTCAGCGTGGAGGGCTCAAAAACTGTCGGACAAAAACCCTTGGCCATCTCTTGGGGGGCAAATTCTTACGTCCGCCGAGCTTCTGGCGGCTCGCCTAACTGAAGGGGTTGTGGGACATTACAAGTAAATCGACACAAGTAACAAGGTTCACCCTGTTCTCCCACCCCCGTGGCCCGTGACCCCCGTTGCGCGTGCCCCGAGTGCAGAAACCGCGGAGGCCGCCAGCGAGGTCCCCGCGGAGGCCTCCGGAGGCCCACCCGGGGCCACGGGCATCCAGCAAAGGCTCGCCCCTCCTCGGCGGCGGCGGCGAGCGTGATGGGCCTGTTGTCCACCACCACCACCGTAAGTTGGAGGGGGAGGGGGTCCTTTTCCTCCTCCTCCTGCTCCTCCTCTTCCTCCTCTTTGTCCTCCTCCTCCTCCTTCTCCTCCTCCTCCTCGTCCTCGTCCTCCACCTCCTCCCCCCTCCAACTTGTGGTGGTGGTGGTGGAACACAGGCCCATCAGAGCGTGTAGGGGGGGTCCAGCTGCCTCTGGAGCTCCAGCTCCATGGCCTGTGGTCTGGGGGGCGAAGCTGGCATGGACGCAGAAGGGCGAGGCCCGGAGGGAGAGGGGCAGCCCTTCGACGGCGCACCCGCCGAAACGAGGAAGACACGGCGGCACGTGAATGTGGTCGCCGCGCAGGCGCATGTAAACTGCACAAGATCGGCTCAGCAGCCCTGAAACAACGGAGGTTTCCTGGCAAATGTGCGCGCTGGCCCCGGCACCAGGACTGCCATCCACGGAGCTTGTCCCAGCTGCCTGACCCAGAAATGCCACCCAGAGGGCCGGCTCCATGCGCCAGGCGGACGAAACCCACGCCTGGCGCTGCTCTGCTCGTCAAACCGCCGCTCGCGCCTAGCCAGGCGGAGGGTGGTGGGATCACGCTCTGAAGAGTGCTGGAAAATTTGTGAGCGGTCCTGGAGACCCCGAGAACAAGAAAAACAAGGGGAAAAGTGGATCAGGAGCATGGCGGAAAAGATGATGGGGGAGGGGGGGAGGAGACAAAGGGAGAAACACACATGGGTGATGTTTCATACCAGAAAAAATGATTCTGGGGAGGTCCCGGTTGGAAGGAGCGATTTCTGAAGCTCTGGGGTTGGTGTTTTTGTTGGGGGGAGGGTCCAGAAAGGAGGAGGAGATGGAGGAGAAAAACGGGGCGTCTGCCACTCCTGGGGAGGCAGGGAGAAAAGGGCGGGGAAGGAAGGCGGGAGGGGGAAAAGCTGAGGGAAATGTGACATCCCAAACACAGACAAGTTTTGTCGGAAGCCCGCCTGAAAACACGATGACCGCGACGAGCGGCCGCGCTGCCCATCTGGGCCACGACAAACAGCCACGCGACGACCGCGAAGGGTAGCCCCACCACCACGACGAGAAGCCCCACCGCCTCCACGACTGCGACGCGCAACCCCATTATTGTCAGGGGGGCGACACAGTGGGATAGCAGAGAGTCGGCTCGAAAAACAATTCTTGTAGCTGGTTGTCCGAGCGCCATGCGACGATGGAGCGGCGAAGAGACTGTCCACTGACCGGGCAGGCCCCAGTGTCGCCGCGGCGGCTCGCAGCCCGCTTGTCGGGCTCGCAGCCCGCACTGAATGCACAGGTCTTTGTGGCCTAGGAGAGCCGAGAGGGCAAGGCCCCCAAGAAAACTTGCACCCAGATGGGCTGCGGAGAATGGCGAGACTGAGGGGGCTGGAGAGAAGACCGGGCATCAACAGCCCGTCCCAGCATAGTAAAACATTGCTTTCTGCTACGCCCAGGCTCTCACGTTTGAAGAGAGCTGGGGACACGCAGTCAGCCGCAAAGCGGCAACTACAAGCGGATCCCACGATGACGGCACCTCTTTGTGGCAAATGCCGCGCAAAACGTCGAAGAGCTTGCCCACTGACCGGGCTGGCCCCTGTGTCGCCGAGGCGGCCCGCATCCCGCCGAGGCAGCCCGGCCTCGCAGCCCGCTCACACCGCGCATGCCGCCGCGTCCGCGGACGCCTCGCACCGCGGCGCACCTCGGGGGCCGCACTGGCGGGCCGCCCCGGCATGGGACCGATCTCTCCTCCTCCCGGGCAGCCTCCTCGCGCGGGCCCTCGCCCGCCGGGCTCTTTGAAGCAGACCGCCTCTGCTCGGCGCTCCTCGCTGCCTCTGCCTGCCGCCGAAGTGCCCCTGACCTCGCGCCAGGCCCGCACCTCGGACAACAGCCGAAGTGGCCCGCGCCGAACGTCAACGTGGGGCCAGGCCGCAAGCGGGGGCCTGACTCCTCTCTAGTCAGCCTGGGCGCCGTCGCGGACTCAGTCACCCAGCGACTCCCAGCGCGCCCGCCGCCGCACGCCAGCGGTGCCAATCTCCTCACACCGAACCACATTTTTTGTCCTCAGCCTCCCGCTGGGCACGCCCTGCGCTTTTCTCTCTTGCCGGGCCCTCACCTTCGACGCGTCGCAGCCCGCGCAGAGGGTGGACACCGACCTGGTCATCGCGGTCGCCACTCCTCGGGCTGTCTGAATGGCCTCCCACAGGTGCTGGTGGCATGCGCCGCGGTTCCACCTTCCCCACCTCGTCACGAACCCGGCGTCCCCGGGCCCTGGGACACACAAATAAATAGACACAAATAACAGGATTCCCTATATTTTCCACTATTTTCTGGGTTTTTGTCTTCCCCCCCACTTGCCATATTTTCCCATATTTTCTAAGGAATCGACGATTAATTGTGTCTGTGTGTTTTTTCCCTCCTGAGATACAGCGTCGTAGCTCCCCCAGTCCACAGCGAGTGGGAGCCGAACTGCGACGCCGGATATACTTCCGCCACCCGCCCGCTGCAGCTACTCCGGGATCCTCTGACGATCGCCCCTCGCGCCAACGATTTTCGCCGGGAAGTGCCTCTGGCACTGCTCGGCCGCTCGCGCTAGACTTAAGTCGGGCGTGTCCCCCTACAGGGGGATTTAGGACGGAAAAAAAAAATACCCCCCAAATACTCCAAAATTGTCAAAAAATATGCAAAAAATACTCCCCAGACTATCTTTTTATGATTTTCGACTACCCCCCTGTAGAGGGACAGGCCCGTCTTAATGCTAGACAGATCTCGCCTCCTACCCGGTGTGGTTCCTGGCCATCCCCGCGCCAACGTGGTCCGCTTTGCTCGCCCTGAGCCACGGCGCCACCTCGTCTGCCTGGGCGAAGTGGGGCGATGGCCCGCCCTTCGCCTCCGCGGCCACGCCCAAGCCCGTCAACGCCTTCACGTGGCCTCAATCGTCCGCGTAGACATACTCTCCGATCCGCATCAGGAAGAGTAGTACCGTGATAATCGAGGGCGCGCAGACATGGATTAGCGATCCATAGATTAGGCGCGCGGTCGCCAAATCCATGGATCGGGGGAGGCGCCCTCCCCAAAATGCGGCCAGTGCACCCGCCTGGTTCGGCGGCGGAAATCCGCGATTCCCCATGGAAACGAGACCCGTCGCTAATCCGCGCCCCCTCGATCCATGTTTGCGATCGCCTGAGATAATCAAATAGATCACCGTTTCGTCAGGGTCCGCCTCCGGTGCCTACTGGGCCGGCGCCGATGTCGGCGCCGCCTCCTCGACCGCGCCTGCTCCGCCGCGCCGGCCGCGGCCTCCTCGGCCAACCGCTGCGCTACGTGGCTCCCGTGAGCCGCCCCCAGGGTCGCGCCCGGGTGCCTGGGGCCTCTCAGGCCCCGAAGAGAAACTTGAGCCCAAATGGGCCGCAGAGAGGGGCGAGACGGAGGAGACAGGACAGAAGCACAGGCACCCCCAGCCCGTCCCGGCCACTCCACTCGCACCGTGGGCAGGCATGACCTCACCGACGGCCACCACAGTGACCAGCACGACAGCCGCTGCAGCTAAGACAATGACTACTTCGAGTGCCATAGCTGCGAGCAGCACGGCCGCAAGTATTTACCACAGCAACCAGCACGCCATGCAAAACGGCCACGATCAACAGTGTTGATCGTGGCCGTTTTGCACAATGATTCAACACTACCATGATCGACCCGCGCCAGCTACGACACACGACTACGACATCCCCCCTCGCCCCACCTACCAACGGCATTCCCGACGGCATCCAACCCTACGCCCCACCAGACTTCCCGACCAATGCTAGGTGCTCGATCCTGGAAACTTCTTTTTACCATACATTCGTGTCCTGCTGTGCAGAATTATTTCCTCTAGTGTTTTTTTGTGGTCTTTCTAGTGCCTTGGTCGTTGCACGTGCGCAGGATAGCCCCCTTCCTCCCCCTCTCATCTCTCCTCTTGCTCCTGCTGCTGATTTTTATCGGTTTCCTCCCCCCCCTCCTCGCCCGCCTTTCCGCCGCCGTCGCCCCCACCGCCGCCGCCATCTCCTCCCCCTCCACCGTCCCCCCGTGCCCGCCGCAAATTGTCCTGAGGGCGGCCAGGCGAACCCGCGGGGGATGGCGGCGGCGGAGTTGGTTCTGCACTTCGAGGCTCTCTGGCGGACGAGGGCCAGGAGCTGGCGGGCGCTGAGGCGGGCGCGCTGCGCCGCCCATGTCCGAGGCCGCGCCCTCGCTGCGCGGGGGCGGGCGTGGCCGTGTGGCAAGCGCGCCGCGCGTGCCAGGGGCGAGTGCACCAGGTGCGGTACGTGCCCGGCGCGACAGGTGCGCTAGGTGCGCCGGGTGCGGCAAGCGCGCCTCGTGCGACAGCTTCGTCGGGCGCCCGTGGCGCATCGCGCTGCCCCATAGGCCAGCAGCAGCGCTGGGTGATCAGTTCGGCCCCGACTACCTTCCGAGACAATTGCGCTGGTCCACTTTCCGTCGCCCCCCTCCACGTCACCCCCCGCCTTTTTCCAGTTCCTCCATGTCTCCGAAGGGAAACGTCACGAAGGCTGTGCGCATTGATGACTCCGAAGTGTGCCACGAATTTGTTTCCAATTCCAGATAGCCGCCGGGAACTTCACATTCTTATTTGTGTGCCGTTCGTTGAATCAGTCGAGGCTGTTCCCGCGGGCATCTCCTTGGACGCTCCATCATCGTGGGCTTGCAAAGGAGAGTTTCGCCGAAGGCACCTGTGCACGGCCAGCACAATGCCTGGCCAGTGCCACCCAGCGCTTCTGCATGGTGAACGAACCCTCGTGGCCAGGACGGCCAGGCAACATCCACCGGCCCAGGATGGGACTGGCCAGGCATGGTGGAGGTAGGAATACAGAAATGCTTCTGGGGAAAAAAGACACAGTTGAAAACCCTGCCCATCAACTACGGGGCAGCGAAAGAATCCCCCCGCGGCCTTCGACGGAGACTGGCCCCCCCCCCACAGGGCCTGAACCGCCATTTCCCCTCGAGAGAATGCGCCCAGGTACTTCAGCTGGCTTCCGCCGACATTCAGTAAGAATCCCGAAATCTGCCGTTTGCGAGGGCCCCGCTTTCCGCCGACGTCCCGCTGGCTTGTAATTCAGCTGGATTCCACCAGATTCCGCCGACCTGCACAAATGGCACTAAAAGGCACCGACTGCACAAACAGGCACGAATGCATGTTAAAAGAAGCCTCCAAGATCGAGCGCATAACAATTCCCTGCTCAACAACCACCGACACAATGCCTTTCCCGACGCCAGCCTCACCCAACGATGCCTCCCCGAGCGAAAGTTTGGCGACAAGCAATTACAACGCAGTGCTCAACATAACGATCTCGATATACCGTGTCACGGGCTGTGCTGTACTGCGTCGTGCTGTGTTGAATTCAATGTGTCACGCCGCGTTGAACCGTGCCGCGCCATATTGCATTGTGGACCAAGCCGCCCTTGGCGTCAGAGTGTGGCCGAACTGCTTGGACCTTGAGATCGAACTGCCAGAACGCATGGCTCGGGCTAGTTGTAATCAAGACGCGCAGGGCGCTAGACCAGCTCGAGCGCAAGCTCCGATTCAGCTCCGATGCCATCGCCAGACACAGTCCGTTCCGCAGCGGAGCGAATCGAGCGCGACCACGACAGATGAGGGAGAAACATGCGGGGCGCCAAACCCGCTCGAACTCAAGATCCGATTCAGTTCCGAACTGGGACGATACGATTTGTTTCTCACTCATGGGCAGAAGGTGCGCCGCTCCGAAGTCGGCGAACCCATAGGCCTTCAGCCTGTGTAGCTGGAGGCACTTAGTCCGATAAGGAGGGCGATGGAGCCCAAGCGGCGAATCCGAACCGAAACGAAAAGCACCGGCACGACGACAAGGCCCCCGCTCGGCACCTCTTCGAACAATGGAGAAGCCAGCGTTTCGCGAGAGACATTCTCAACATGTCCTGCAGAAGGAGCCTTTCGCTGACGGCGAGGACCTCGCTCGAGACATCCTCAACAGATCCTGCAGAGCGAGCGTTTCGCCCTAGGCATCTCCAACAAGTACTCATGGTAGTGATCCACCTGGGCGGCCTGGGCACGTGAACACCCGCGCTTCGCTCGAAATACCCTCAGCAAATCCACATGTCAAAGATCCGCCTGGGCGACATGGGACAAGCCTGAAACCACATGGGTCCCTTGCGCACCAGGGCGGAACAAGTGTAGAAACGCGTGGTCACCTCGTGCCCCGTTCGCGCCAGGGCGGAACAAACGTGAAAACACGTGGGTCCTTTTTCGCTCCAGAGCGCAGCAAGCGTGAAATCACATGGGTTCCTTTCGCGCCACAGCGCAGTAAACGTGAAAACGCGTGGGTCCCTTTCGCCCCAGAGCGGAACTAGCATGAAAACACGTGGGTGCCTTTCGCCCCAGAGCGCAGCAAGCGTCAAATTAGATGGGTCCATTTCGCCCAAGAGCGCAGCAAGCGTGTAATTACATGGGTCCCTTTCGCCTCAATGCGGAACAAGTATGAATGCAGTAAGCGTGAAAACACGTGGGCCCCCGCCAAGAAACGCCAGGAAGCCCCCCCAGAGCCCCCAAACGGAACGGGCCAAGTGATCATACACCTGGTGCCCATTCGTTGAGTTTGCTCTGATGATGTGCCCTCCCTCACATGTGGGAGGGGGGTCCGCCCCTGGGTGGCCAGGACGCGCGGCAACGCGTGGGTCCTTCCCGCTCCAGAGCGGAAAACAAACGTGAAAACACGTATGTCCCTTTCGCCCCAAAGTGGAACGCGTGAACACGTGTGGGCCCCTTTCGCCCCAGAGAGCAGCATGAGAACACGTGGCCCGCTTTGGTCCCAAAGCGGAGCACGTGCCAGGGACTGTTTTCATGCTTGCTCCGTCCTGAGGCGAATGGGGCCCACGTGACTTCACGCTTGCCCCGCCCTGAGGCGAAAAGGACCCACGTGTCTTCACCCTTGTTCCGCCCTGAAGCGAAAAGGAAATGCTAGATACCCCCCTGGGCGACCTGGGCATATGAAAACAAGAATGTCGCCTGAAGTATCCTCTGGCTTCTGCCCCCAGGAGAGGAACCATCTGTAGAACAAAACAAACGTTTCGCTCGAGACATCCTCAACATGTTCTGCAATACAAGCGTTTCGTTCGAGACGTCCGCAACGAACGCACATGTATACTTCACTCTGCGATTAATCGATCGGAATTTCAAAGCCCAGCGTGTCGTTCGGGACTTCCTCATCTTGTCTCCGCCGGCCCACCTCGACCTCGTCATAATAATCCGCTGGCACACCCCCAACGTGGTACCGGGGAACAAATTTACCAACTGAAGGGAACCCTGGGCCTATGCCTCTTCCAGAACAAATCCCTCAACGACTCCCTATCCAACGCCGGCCACGACAACCTCCGTACTCGAGGACAAAACCGACCAACCACCAAATGCACTACGTACACAGCGGCGGCACCCGTCACCCGACCGATACGATCATCCAAAGACGGTTGTCGACTTCGACAACTGGCGTGACGAACCTTCTGCGCACAAGCACATTGTCGCGGCTCTCTGGGACACGGAAGCGCTATTCCGAGGATGGCTTGCGCTGGTCGGCGGCTCTCCGGGATATCACGACCTGGACGACGACGACGGCGACGACGACGTCGACGCGCCAACAACGACCAGCCCCAGCCCGGTCCGCCGGGCGCGAGGCGCGATCACATTCGCTCGCATGTGGCCGACTTGGCCTCGCCCCCCTGCCGCGACAGACAAAGAGTGCGGAGGAGCGGCCGAAGAGCTGGGCGGCTGGCCGCCGAGCCTCCAGCTCCCTGTCGACGCCGCCATCGGGGCCTGCGCGCGCGTGGGGGAGAAACACTATGTATGTATATGCAAGCACATATGCTTGTAATCTGTGTTTTCTATACATATCTATACACATACTGGAACCCACGCGCGCGCTACGCGCGCTGAGGTTCTGGCAGGCTGCGCAGACGATGTCCGTAGACCTCGCGATGGTCCATGAACCCAAGATGCCCAAGAACGGTCTCCCCAGGCAGGGGCCGCCCTTGCCGCGTGAAGGTGCTGGGGGTGGGTAGATGCGGGCTCGGTGGACGGTACCGAAACCGTGCGAAGATAGACGTGCGACGCGTCGGAAGGGCCCGAATGTTTCTCTGACAGCGCAAATGCGGCGACGACTACGGTAGCCGAGGAATGCCCCAGAGGATCCGGGCCGCCATGTCCCCGAAAGGCCCCACGACACTCCAAAACCGCCTCCAGGAGGCTTCCGAGAGGCCTCCCTGCCGATCCCCACAGGCATCCCGAAGGCCTCTGACCTAGAACGCATGAACAGAAGCTGTAGGCCGGAGGCCACTAGATTATTACATGCAAAACGCACGCCCGTAGTCTATGCAATCTGAAAAAAAAAACTGCATTGGCGTTTCGCGCCATGCGCATTTGTCCACTCATTTTCGAACGTGAACGAGATGAGGGAGAGAGAGAAACATTACCGCCCCTATTTTCACTCTCGTGGAATTCCCTTGCTTCGTATCATTTGTTCTCCTATTCCGTTTCCCTCTTCCTTATTCTCGCCTTTCCGCGTGAAGCCGCCCGCGTCTTCCTTGGAACATTTTGTGAGGAGGCTCTTCCTCGGTGGTCTCTACAGGGTTTGTCGACGGACTGGACTCGACTGGAAAGATCCGTGCCTACACGGCGCATCGGCAAAAACTCGCGCAAGAACGGATGGCACGAAAACATTAAATAATCGGACCGCTAAATGCATGCTCCCGCGCGGTTTGTCAGGCTTTTGTGTGCTGATGCCGTGATCCTGCCCATGTTCTGAAGATGCCTCCAGCGAGAAACTGAACTTTTACATGCATGGTTGTACATCCGCCTTTTCAGTATTTCATTGTTTCGAGGATGTCTCCGGCGACAGCCCCATTTCCATTGGTGAGTTAAAATCGCAACTTTTATTTGCTGATGGATCTCTGAAGAGAAGCGCCTGTTTCTGTAAAAGGGTCTGCTGCAAACAACGTATGGTTCGAGGATGTCTCAAGCGAAATGCTCATTTGTACGGATCTCGAGGGCGCTCTTGGAAACAGATTGGGCCTCATTTGGGGCCGTCTCGATACCGTATAAATAATGCCATTGCGATGTCACGTATCTCATGTTTGAGGATGTCCCTAACGAAATCGTCATGTTTAAAAGGGCTGGCTTGGGCCGTCTGGACACCTTTTTGTTCAGGAGCGAGCCCAAGACGATGTTAGAAAAGCAAGCTTCAAACCGATGCGATTGTATTTATCATTTCCAACCCTCCTTGGTTGGGTATTCGTTTTGAATAGAGCACCGCGGTCGCGTCTCCCTCCTTCTCCTCCCGCTTCCCGCCTCCGCCTGCCCTCTCTTCGCCGTCGATCGGGGGCTGCGATCTGCGAAACTGTCGCCACGTTCGAGGGCTGCTGGCGGGTCCAGCGGAGTGAGGCACCGCGCAAACCTGAGCGAGACCTCGCCGTCCCTGGGGGGGGGGGGGGCTGCGATCTGCGAAACTGTCGCCACTTTCGAGGGCTGCTGGCGGGTCCATCGGATTGAGGCACCGCGCAGACCTGAGGTAGACATCGCCGTCCTGGGGGGCTGCGATCTGCGAAACTGTCGCCACTTTCGAGGGCTGCCGGCGGGTCCAGCGGAGTGAGGCACCGCGCAAACCTGAGCGAGACCTCGCCGTCCCTGGGGGGCTGCGATCTGCGAAACTGTCGCCACGTTCGAGGGTAGTGCTGCCGACGCGCCGTGTTTCCTAATGGCTTGCCGTGCCACTTCCCTTCTCCCCCTTTCCCTTTCGAAGCCCGCGCTAAAGCATCGTTCGCCCGATCCGCGAGGTGCCTGACTTCAGGGCTGTCGGTCACATCGCCTCATGCCGCCCAAACCCCGTACCATTGAATTTTGAAACGGCGTCCCGCAAATTGATCCCGCACCACTGGTTCCTGGGCAACCGAAAATTTGGTTTCGCTTGTATTCGCTGTCGCGTCCCCTTTTGAATATCCCGATTCAAAACAACACTTCCGTAAACTGGACAAGTTTTCGGGCACACGTGCTTCGATAGGCGCATCCGCACTAAGTCAAACAATGCTGCTCTGGTGCTTGATCAGCAGCCGGCCGAAAATGTTGGCGAACTTGACACGTGACCGAACTTCACGAAGATAATACTATTAAAACCGCCCTTTGTGACGAAATCGATGTGTGCCGGTAGTTCCGTACGGTCTAAGTGTTCCTTCAGGTAGGTTATGGCCGCGTCCATGGCAGCAAAATTACCCAACCCCACGACAACAACATGCCATGCTCGGTCTCTGTTTGATGTAAGGTCGTCAAGCTGCTTCTCGAGGTCCGGAAGCTTTTGTTCAATGTGTATTGTGAGGCTCGCTGTTGCTGCTAAGGTTGCGGAAGGTGGTCGGGATACAGCACCCTCAAGAGCTTCGATTCGTTCGGCGAGCTGCTCCATGTCGGCCTTGATGGGGTCCAGGGAAGTGCCCTATTCCTATTTGGAAGCGCCGTGCTGCTTAATGGCCTCAATGTCCTTGTGGATTGGGTTCAGGTGGAAGGCAAGCTGCCTTTCGAACGATTCGAACATGCTTTCGATGGCAACCATGCGGATATCCCAAGAAAATGTCCCCCGTTGAGCCCCTTTACCTCGATGTACCCCCACTCCAGTGCCAGCTGCAGCCGCAATATCACCTTCGAGTTGCTGTTGGCGTTGAAAGCGGAAGTCTTCGACGTTATCGTCCATGCTGTTCAGCGGGCTTTGATGACGAGCAGCTTTCTGCTTGCCTTGCGATGCTGCCGGCGACTTGGAAAAAGGGGATGATCCGAACAGATGCTTCACAAGGGTTCCTGGCGCGCGCGCGGTGGCACCAGCCCCGGCAGAAGACATCAAGGTGGGATCGAAGTGTACCACGAGAAGAATGGATACACAAAGTACTTGAATACCGAATGTATGTGAAGGCGACTTGAGCGCTCCCCCTCTAGGGTCTAATACTTTGCCCCTTACGGGACTGATGCCAACACGATTCCCACCGGACTCGCCACTGTAGCACCCGTGGAACTGAGTCCCAGCGTGAACACGAGGAGGAGAGCGAGCAGGACGACCGAGTGGATGCAGGCACCCACGCAGAAGCGCCCGAAGACCCAGAACGTCCAGACGCCAACGCAGATGCAAGAACCCCACTCCGCCTTCCGTCCAATATGAAATGCCACCAGAGGAGGGAGCGACGCCATCAGGAGCGAAATGAAGGGGCAGGATGAGGTTTTTGCTAGAAGCAGCTGCAAGGCTGGGCTGCCAGGAAACGGGACCTCCAAGCGGGCCGAGGAAAGCGGGCCGCGGGCCCCACCCCTAGGTTCCACGACGGGGGGGGCAGCAGCTTACGCACTCTCATGACGGCGGTGTACTGTGCCCTGGTGAGCGAGAAACGTCCGCAACGGCACGGGGGGGACGGGCAAGGCGAGAGGACGGACGAGGGGCACGGGCAGGACGGGGCACGGGCAGGGCGAGGGACGACGAAGGGGGACGACGAGGACGGGCAGGACGAGGACGGGCTACGAGGCACCTTCCAATCGCTCGGACGTAGATTGCAAATGCGTTGTCTGGTTTCGTGCTGTCATCTTTCTGCGAATGATCCAGGACGCTCCCAGATGGGGCAGATTTAGCGGCGCTGGCGTCGACGGGGGAAATGCGCACGTCCGAGCGGTGCCAAGGCACAAGGGGTAAAGGGCAGGACGAGGACGACGACGAGGACGATGAGGCAGGCGACGACAACGACGGCGACGACGAGGAGAGCGACGAGGGCGCGGACGACGACGAGGGGCGAAGACGGGGGCCGCGGACGACGCGAGCGAAGGGCGACGAGAGCAGCGAAGACGGATCGACGACGGCGAGGCCGGCGAGAAGGCCGCGCGGGCGGCCTCCAGCGCCCACCCCCCCTCTCGGGGGCGCGCAGACATGGATCGGGAGAGCTGCCGGCCCCAAAATGCGGCCGTTGCCGCCTCGCTCGGCGGCGGAAACCTGCGGTCTCCCATGGAAGCGGGGCCCGTCGCTGCTCCACGCCCCCTTGATCCATGTTTCCGATCGCCTGACCCACCCCCGAGGTGCACGGTTTCCCCCGGGGCCGTAGGCCCCCCGAGGAGGAGGAGGAGGAGGAGGAGGAGGAAGAGGTGAAGACGGGGAGGAGGAGGAGGAGGAGGAGGAGGAGGAGGAGGAGGAGGAGGAGGAGGAGGAGGAGGAGGAGGAGGAGGAGGAGGAGGAGGAGGAGGGAGGAGGAGGAGGAGGAGGAGGAGGACAGGTCGCCTAAGCCCTTCGGAGAAACCCTCCACCCCGAGGAGCCCAGGCGGGAGAGAGAGCCCGCGGCCGCGCGGCGGCCGCGGCCACGGGGCGCGTGTCGGGTGCTGCCAGGAGCGTCCCTGGCCTGACGCCGATGTCACCCGGAGCACCCCTCACGCACGAGGGGTGCGCTGGAAACCCTGCAGCTCCAGCTGGAGGCCCCTCCCTCCTCGAGAGGATGAGGGGCAACGAGAGGGGGGGACTGGCATAGAGGGGAAGCATCGATCTGGAATCGGCGATACACCGCCGATAGATCGGCGATAGGCCTCCGGTCGTGAATACGAACCTTCCTGGGCAGGTTGGGGCTATCGGGCCCCTATCGGCGATCAGTGGGCGATTGGGGGTCGATGCATCCCCCCCTATGCCTATCCCCCCCCCCATCGTTGCCCCTGAACCCCTCTCCACGCACGAGGGGTGCGCTGGAGACCCTCCAGCTCCAGCTGGAGGCCCCTCCCTCCCCGAGGGAAGGAAGACGGCATCCAGACCAGAGAGCCCCAGGGGCTCCAGCGCAATTCTCGAAATGCTGCGGACACCCTCGGCCAGAACCACCTCTGGCAGACCCGACACGGGGGGGGGGGCGCCCGAGCTCAGGATCAGGTCGGCCAACGACCTGCGCGGGCCGCCAGGACAACCGTCAGAATGGGCCGAACACTTCCGACAAGTCTGCGTCGTGGCGAGCTGGGAGGTGGTCGCACAACCTGCGCGGGTGGTTCAACCTCGAGCGGTCGGCTCCTTTTCGATCGTAAAATCGTTCCATGTTGGGCGACTCTGGGCCGCTGGCGGCGCTCGACCTTAACCGCTCACGCTGGGGTCGCCACCGCGTCGACACGACACGGACCTGCCGTTCACAGGGGCCACCGCCCTCCTCATCCCTCTCCCCTCCTCTTCCTCCGACTGCCCATTCTTGGTCGTCCCTCCCCTCGACAACCCCCCTCCCCCATTTAGAGGACGAAAGAACTGCATTCGGAACTCCGCCAAGAAACCCGCGCGGAGCTGATGTATAAAACATGTTTCATCTTCGACCCTTGCTCCTCATCCCTCCGCCTTCCCTCCATGTCTTCAGGAAAACCTGCAGGAATCCGCTCTCTTCAAGGGCCCGCCTTTTTTCATTGTTAACCACTGCCCCGCTCACGGAGACCTCCGCTCGACCACTCGGGTACGTAATTTGGCAGTCACGTCTCACGCGCTACTCCCTGAATCGCCGCGTCGTGACAATACGCGGCCTCTGGGAGCCCCTCCCCAGCCCCCCCCCGGGGCCGTCACGGAACGGCGCGGGACGAGGAGCGGGTCCCCAGGACGGGGTCGAGACCTCTGGAGATCCACCGTCGGACGTCTGGGTGTAGCACTGCCACCCATCAGTGGCCAGAGCGCGGGCAAAATGTTGTCCATATCCACTGCGTCTTGGACTATCCAGGAAGGAGTGCCGAAAGGCCGAGACGCAATGGACATGCACACTGTAAGATTAGAGCTAAGTTCTTCTCCACATCCACTGCACCTCGGGTGTGCGGGAAAAGAGCTGAGCACATGATGCAACAGAGAACAGGTTGCTGCTCCCCCCTCCGCCGCGCGCGCGGGGCCTCGGCGGCGCCGCCAGAGGGGCGGCTGGCAGGGCCTGGGCGGCTGGCAGAATACTCTTCTGTGAGGCTGCTACGCGAAATTCCAACCAGGAAGTCCCCAACTGCTACAGGGCCCCAACCACATCACTCCGAAACTTGCAGCATTCGAAGTGGTAAAATCTAGCTCTTGCTTCAAATCACTAGCGACATGATTTAGGATACTTGTGACATCATGTGTTTGGTGTAAGCAATGCGCCCGCTTGTTGTGACGTTTCCCTGTCATGAGAGCGTTCATTCTTGCTGCGTGTAGATCAAACACACAGGGCCAACACAAACTACATTGCAAGCGTGAGTTAGGCTTTGGAACAGACCCATGTATGACAACAACTCACATGTGCGTTGTGTCTAGGGGGTCCGAGAATTCTGTCCCGTAAAGAGTACACTCCATGGTTCCGTAGCCGTTTGGGCTCTGACAGGGACGTAAAGTCTTGGGACCACGAGGAATTGAATTGGCCCATTGAGGCCGACAGTGACTTGATCGATGGCGATACGACAGCGGTGCTCCCCAGAGCTTCTCGCACGGGGGTGCCCCCCCCAGAGCAGTTGGACCAGTTCGGCCAGGCTACGTTGTATCTTGTATGTTCGACGGGTTCAATCAAAGATAATTCAGTGCACGGCAGCCCGCAGGCAAGCTGGCAAGCAGGCAATTGGTGCATGGGAGATTCTGTCTGCCACTGAGATTATGTGCATCCGCAGCAAAAGCTATAGCCATGATGAATTCACAAAGTCTGTACTGATTTTGTTTGGGGGTCCTCGCGTCGAATCATCTTGGGAGCAAATGGATATCAACTTGAAGATGTTGCCGACCTGGTAAACGAGGTGCAGGTACCCAGCGGCTGGTTTGAGCATGCTGGAGTCCGCCAGCAACAAGCAGGTGTACAATGCAAGTGATGGTGGTACAGATCTCTTCAAGTACGTGTTGAATCAGTGGAGCGACCACGCTGAATAGTACCCTGTCGCGTGGACTTGCCAAACTGTATGCGTTGGCAAACATCTTGCCGAATGTATCGTTCCAGGATGGCCATATCTATCACTCGTGCCTCCTGCAGCACGCTTGGGAGTTAAGAGACGAGTTCTGTTCATGGGGCCTCGCACTTTGGCAGTCAGAGAACACGCGGATGCGATGACAGCAGTTCTGCCACGAGGCGTTCAACGTGCACCAGGTGACGGCTCGGAAACAGAAGACATCGCATCTCCGCGCAATTCGACGAAGGGAGGGCTCATGGTGGAATGGGTTATTCACTGTCTCGATGTGGCGCGGCATCTCGAAGCTTTGCTAATTCAAAGAAGGCGTGGGCGAAAGTGTTGGCTCGGCATGGCCATAAGGAATAATCACAAGATGGCCCGAGGTTTGACAATTAGCTATGATGTGTTGCGGAGGGGGGTGCTTGAGATCAGATATTAGGTGCATGCTGCTGATGCGACAGTGGCTGGCAGTAAACATGGGGCTTCTTGCGAATTTCTATATGTACACTGACGGGTCTCCACAATGGAAGGGGGTCGAACTTTCCGCGACGAGCGTCGACTGCGTCGGAATAAAATCGGGTGGATGCATTTGTTATTGGTTATTTTTGCCAATCGTGCGCATTGGTAACCAACATCTTAGCCTCAATGAAGCATTGTACGCATTACTTTGGAAACTTGCCCTCAGCATCTGGCCGTCACATGCATCGCTTCGGCACTCGTTAAGTCGCGTGATATCTGTGACTTCAGATATGGGAGCTGAGAGACTATTTCGCAATGCGCCTGACAATTACCTGCGTTCTGCAGGTCAGTGGGAAAGTATGTGACACCAGACATATGCAAACAACACCGGCTATTCCCATGTGCGGTCCAAACCCCGAGGTGGATGCATGTTTTCGACACGTTGATCAGGAGGGCGTTGTGCAGCATGGACTGCTTTCCGCGCTGGCTGGATGTCATCAAAGCTGTCCTCACGCTTCTGCGGCACTACGGCGTCATTCGGAACTTCAAAGAAGCTTGCTTCCAGGCGCTGGCTAAGATCGTGCAGGCGCTGTCCTTACCATATTTCGAACAATGGCGCTGGGGCACGCTCCATAAACTGCGCAGGTAGCTCAAACATGTTGTGGGCATCTTGCAGAGACATTGGGGCCAGATGACGTTTCTCAAACAAGTAAGGGACAGTTCGTTGCTCGGGAGGGTTCGGCACGCGCTGGATCAGCAAAGATGAGTGGACCTATTAAGGTTCACTGCGTGGATTGTGGAATGGCTTACATACTCGCCTTCAATCTTGAGGCAGCAACTGTCTCTGTCACGTGCCAGATTACGAATCTGGGAGGCCAGTTGACTACAGAAAAAGTAGACTCCTATCTTGCGCAAACGATAGGGCTTCTTCTACGTTTCAGGATCGTGGGCAATGCTGCTATCACGATGGATGTAACATGCAAATGCCGTCGTATTGCATCGATCCCTCGCGCTCGCTCCAATTTTCGTGACTCTCCCAACGGTGACCCCTTGCAGAATCAACCACCCCATTGGGGTGGCTGGTTCTGTTGGGGGTCACCGTCGGGGTAACTGTCTGAGGAGGGGCTCTCCATCGGACCATCGACGCATCGGAAGTCACCGTTGGGGGTCACCGTTGGGGCCCGGTGGTGGTCACCGTTGGGGGATCACCGTCGCGGGTTACTGTTGAAAGCTTCCACCTGGCACCCCATCTTGATTCAACGTGTGGGGGGGCACCGTGTCGGGACACTAAAAGATAGCGTATCATGGGACCCCCCCCGATCGTCTCGATCCGATTTCGCCGTCGCGATAGCAGCAACTTGACCTCAGGAAGCTTTGAAAGAAGCAGGAACATGGGCACCTTCCCTTTTTGGCAATGGTTACGTGTTGCATCAGCAGTGCGTGGGTTCTGTTCGAATCGTGTGGGCTTAGGCTGAAGCAGCTCCAAAACATGACTTCAATTCCCTACCTGTTGTTCGGCTTGGGCAGCCAAGAATCAAACAATTGGCTGTGAGGCAGTTCGAGTCGATGGACCGTGAACTCCATCACCCTCTCACCCTGAAATTATTGGGGCCGCGCTCGTGTCTTCGAGATGTCGTGCTGGCACTGCCGAACGAAGGCAACCTGTTGCCAGGCCGTTCGTCCCTCTGCTTGGGACAAAGCCTGGGCACTGTGCACGATATGGCCGAACGCACTGGTTTGAACCGATTTTGTCCCAACCCTCCTTGGTTGGGTATTCGTTTTGAATAAAAGGACTGTGGTCGAGTCTTTCTCCCGCCTCCCTCCTGCATCCTGCCCGATTTGCCTCGGGGGGGCGGAGGCTGCGATCTGTGAAGTTGTCGCCACTTTCGGGGCCTGCTGGAGGGTCCAGCACACTGACGCCCCACGCGGATTGAAATGGGAACTCGCCATCCCTGGGGGCTGTGGTGCGTGAAACTGTCATCACTTTCGAAGCCTGCAAAGGGGGTCCAGCACAGCGACGTCCTACGCTGATTCAAATGGGACCTCGCCATCCCTGGGGGGCTGCGACTTGTCAAACTGTCGCCACTTTCGAGGCCTGCTGGGGGGTCCAGCACAATGACGTCCTACGCAGATTCAACTGAGACCTCGACATCCCTGGGGGGCTCCTGTCTGTGAAGCTGTCGCCACGTTCGCGGCCTGTTGGGGTCCAGCATAGCGACGCCCTACGCAGATTCAAATGGGACCTCGCCATCCCTGGGGGGCTGCGATCTGTGAGCCAGTCGCCACGTTCGGGGCCTGCTGGGGGGTCCAGCACAGCGGCGTCCTACGCAGATTCAAATGGGACCTCGCCATCCCAGGGGGGCTGCGATATGTGAAACTGTCGCCACGTTCGAGGCCTGCTGGGAGGTCCAGCATAGTGGCGTCCTACGCAGATCCGAATGGGACCTCGCCGTCCATGGGGGGCTGCGACCTGTGAAACTGTCGCCACTTTCGAGGCCTGCTGGGGGGCCCAGCGCAGTGACGTCCTACACGGATTCAAATGTGAAATGTGGCCTCGCCATAGTTGGGGGGGCGCGCTCTGTGAAACTGTCGCCATGTTCGAAGCCTGTTGGGGGTCCAGCACAGTGGCGTCATACGCAAGTTCAAATGGTACCTCGCTATCCCTGGGGGGCTGCGATTTGTGAAGCGGTGGCCACTTTCGAGGCCTGCTCGAGGGTCCAGCGCAGCGACGCCCTACGCAGATCCAAATGGGACCTCGCCATCCCTTGGGGGGCTGCGTTCTGTGAGTTGTCGCCAAGTTCGAGGCCTCCTGTGGGGTCCAGCACAGTGACGTCCCTCGCAGATTCAGATGGGACCTGGCCACTGTTGGGGGGCTGCGATCTGTGAAACTGTCGCCACTTTCGAGGCCTGCTGGGGGGGGGGCAGCATAGTGACGTCCTACGCAAGTTCAAATGGGACCTCGCCATCCCTGGGTTGCTGCGATCTGTGAAGCTGTCGTCACTTTCGAGGCCTGCTGGGGGGTCCAGCATGGTGACGTCCTACGCAAATTCAAATGGGACCTCGCCGCCCTGGGGGGCTGCGATTTGTGAAACTGCCACCACGTTCGAGGCCTGCTGGGGTGTCCAGCACAGCGACGTCATACGCAGATGCAAAAAGACCTCGCCATCCCTGGGGGGCTGCGACCTGCGAAGCTGTCGCCACTTTCGCAGCCATAGCGGCGTCCTACGCAGATTCAAATGGGACCTCGACATCCCTGGGGGGGCTGCGATTTGTCAAACTGTCGCCACGCTCGCGGCCTGCAGGGGGGCCCAGCGCAGTGACGTCCTACGCAGATTCCAATGGGACCTCGCCATCCCTGGGGGGCTGGCTGCTATCTGTAAGCCAGTCGCCACGTTCGAGGCCTGCCTGGGGGGTACAGCATAGCGACGTCCTACGCAAGTTCAAATGGGACCTCGCCATCCCTGGGGGGCTGCGATCTGTGACACAGTCACCACGTTCGAGGACCTCTGGGTGGGGGCCAGCACAGTGACGCCCTGCGCAGATTCACATGGGACCTCGCCATCCACGGGGGGCTGCGACCTGTAAAGTTGTCGTCACTTTCGACGCCTGCTGGGGGGTCCGGCATAGCGACGTCTTACGCAGATCCAGATGGGACCTCGCCATCCCTGGGGGGCCGCGCACTTCGCCGCCTCCTCGCTCGGGTATCCGTCGACGAAGATCTCGTTGAAGAAGGCCGCCAGGGCCGCGCTCCTCTCGCTCGCGCCGTCGTTCGGGGGCTCCGCCGAGACGGCCCAGGCCCCGGACCCCAAGGCGCGGGCCTCGCAGTCCCGGCGGGTCGCCTCCCCCGCGGCCCCCGTCTCCAAGAAAGTCGAGGCGCCTGTCTTAGCCGCCGTCGGGGCAGCGGGGGAGTCCCGCCTCCCGGCCGCGCGGCGGGCGGGCCGGCCCCCGCGGGAGCTCGGCCAAGCCCTGTCGGCGGAGATGGCGCTGCGGGCTGCTCGGGTCGTCGGCGTTGCGCAGCGCTGGGGCGCGCGCTGGGCGCTGCGGACAATGCCCGACGGGCCTGCTGGAGACGCTCTCTGGGTCGACGAACGCTGGGGCATGCCGCGCCTCAGGCCGACCGGCAGGGCGGTTCCGCGATGCTGGATCGGCCGGGTTGAGCTCGGACGGGGGCCGCCTCCAGCGCGCAGCGGAGCCCGAAGCTAGCAGCGGGCGGGCCACCTGCTGGCGCGCCGCCTGCTGCGCGGGGGCCGACGAACGCCCCGTCGCCAGTGCCAAGATGGGCGCCGCGGCACCATCCAGGGCCGCGCGGGACTTCCCAGAGGACCTCAAAAAGCAAAGCTTTTCTAAAACAAACCCAGTAACCCAGAGAAGGGCCCCCAGGATAACCCGCCGGGCCGGGCGCCGCCAGGGCGCCGAGGGGACTGGGCGTCAGTGGCCCCTTCGAGCATCCACGGGGACACCCCCGAAATCGGCCCCAGGGGCCGGCGAACGCCCCGGAGAGCGGGGGCCAGGAGCGGCTGCGGCCCCTGGGCCAAATGGTCGATGCTCAGCTTCCCGAGAGAACCGCCAAACGCTCGCTGCACCTGGCCAGGCCCTCAATCGAGACCTCAGAGACTTCTCGCCGCGCGACCCCGAAGCCCCAAGACGGCGAATCAATGCGAGTGAGTGCGGCGTCGAAAGGCTGCCCGATACCCCCCCTGCAGACGATGGAAAGAGCCCGGACCCAACGCGGTTCACGACGGGCGCCCACTCAGAGTCGAGCGATGGAATTCTGGCACGCGCCCCCCCCCCCCCGAACTTGCACGCCGCGCCTCGACGCGAGAGGAGCCCCCGCCCAATAGGCACTCTGAAAACGAAATGCGCGATGATCTTCGCCACCCATTCCCAGAACAGCACCCGCGCCGGGAGATCACCTGGTGACCGAGGCGCAGTTGCCACAGGAGCCGAGGGTTGAGGGGGTCGCGGGCGCGTCGGAGTCGAATGCCCAGCCGAAGGCGTCGCCCCCAGACCCGCTCTGAATCCAGTGGGCAGGGGGGCCTAACTGCGCGCGCTTGCAGATCGACTAGACGGGAAGCGGCAAGATCAGGCTCCTGCGACAATCATGGGGCGACGAAGTTGTCAACGCACTCTGCGCGAACAACGCCAGCACCGATGACATGGACACGCAAGCGACCCACCAAACCGAAGTCAGGACTGACGAACTCGGCCCGTCGCGCGACAATCTCGTGCACAGCCTGACGCGACCAGAGACTCAGGCTGCAGCCCATGGGGGGGGGGGGCATCTAAAAGGTAGACCCTTGGCGACGGAAGCACCTGCTGCCTGGCAGCTGAGACCGAGACCCCCAAGTCGCCCGCTCTGATCTTGGAGTGGCCAAAATACCATGGGAGCAACGGTTGCGGCAACGCGGGGTCAAACGCATCCGCGACATCAACGCCAGCGGCGCGCGCCGGGGCCTCGCCGTCAACTCTGAACCGCGAGAAAGCTGCCCCAGTCGCCAACTTCGCCATCGGCAGCACGCCAAACAACTGCGAGGGGATTCGGCCATCCATGACGGGCCCCAGGGCCTCGGACTTCTCGCGCGCGAAGAACGCGCCGACTGAGCTCAACACGTCTGCGCGGAATTCAAAAAGGCGCCATGACATTAGAGGAAGCAGAGCTTTCTTGTGCAGGCGCGGGTGCTTGAGGTTTGGGCACGAGCGCATCGGGGCGCGCTGGGCGACCGTGCGACGCCCCGATTTCGGGGCAGAAGACGTCCTTGAGGACGGTGACCAATGCTCCTGTTGGCGCACCCGATGCGCGTGGACAAAAGCAACGGCTCGGCGCTGGCGCTCGGCGGGGGGGCCAGATCGACTCGGGCGAGGGTCGCCGGCGCAATCGCGGTAGACCCCAGGTTGGGCGACCGCGAAAGGCGCGGCTCCTCAGGGGGCCCCCGCCGGTGCAAGGTCGGGCGGGGGCGCTCCGAAGGCGTCGACGGCCTGCTGGATCACCGCCAGGGCTCGCGCGCCCCGTCGGCTGCGGACGGCCCCAGCCAGCGCGCGGGATAAGAAAGAGAACCCGCTGGCGCCGCTGCTGGCGCGAGCTGCCCCGAAGTGCATCTGCGCCGCGAACGCGCGTCTGCGGGGCCCCCTCGACTCCTGCCGGCGGGCAGGGGGGCCCGCCTCCAAGAACCGATCCGTCATGGCGCCATAGCGCGACGCTCTTTCTCTGACCTGCGGATCTGCTCCAGGATTCCATCGTCGCGCTCAACCTGTTTGGCCGCGCGCTGAGGAAGCGCAGGGGCCGCCGTCGCACGACCGCCCTCCCGGGCCGCGCATGCCACTCGTCCACGAGCCCGAACTTCAAGAGACCACCGCTCCGAACCTCGAGCTTTCCCTTGGACTTCGCCCCGGGGTCAGCGTCGGCAGGGGCGGGGGGGAGGCATCGCGGGCATCGCGGCCTCCGTACTCCTTGTGCACGTGTACTCGCACGTCTGCACGTGACGCAGCACGACCTCCGCCGCCACGACGCTGGGAAGGTCCACGGGGCCCCATGTCATGAGAGAGTCGATCATCCTCACGCTGGACTCGCAATGCATTACCCCGAAGTCATCACGAGAAAGCCGATAGTATGACGCGAACTGGTGGATGTGCTCAACGGCGCCGCCTCGCTTCCGATCCAAGAGGCGAAAGCACCACAGCCTCGTCCTCGGGCCGTCCAGCGGCCTCATCTCGAAAGACGAAGGCGGCCAACACGTGGAACTGTACACGCTGGCGACTCCCGTCCGCATGGGGGGGTCCCCGCCTGGAGTCGAGCATCAAAGACCGCCTCAGCAACCTGGTTGGTGATCTGACAGGTGGTCACCGTGCGGATCGCCGACCAGCTCACGTCAGAAAGCTGCTTCCGCCCGATGTCACCTCGCAAGGAAATAGGGGCCATGAGCCGCGACAGGGTCGCCCCGCAAGGCGGCGGTGGTCGTCTCGACGTAAAACCACCGGTCAGCTGGCCCAGGCGCGGCCGCCGCAGCGAGGGCCGCCGCTGGAGCCGCTGCCCCTGCGAGCGGCGCGGCGGCAGGGGCAGCGGGCGGGGCGGGCGCGGCCACAACAGCCTCGCTCGCGGCTGGCACCGCGGCGAGCGCCGCAGTTTCGGGTGCCGCAGCAGCCGCGGGGGCCACTGGGAGCCGCCGCCGGCGGGGCGGCCCCGGCCGCGGGGGCGTCGAAATCGATAGTGCGCCGTCGCCCCTGCCGGGGGCACTGCGGCAGGGCGGCCCGCTGCGTGCTCGGCGGCAAGGTACGTCCCTCGAGTGGGCCTCCAGCTCGGCCCCTATGGCAACCACCTCAGCTGCAGTCAGCTCTCGGCGGAGACGGACCAAGTCCTCAGCGTTCAGGCTGGGCGGGTTTGCGCGGCGGTCATCTTCGAAACGGACCGCGGCCAGGGAGCCATCCGAGAGGTCATAAATTTCCTCGCGCACGTCACCACCAGGCGAGGAGATCATCACACGAAAGGCAAACCATTCGCTTCAACTGGATTCTGAATCACCCGGCCCCTGGCCCCTGAGCCATCCTGGATCGCGGCTGGCGCCCGAGACGGAGACACTCGCCAGAGCACGGCAGCGCCGAACCTCAGTGCGTGGGAGGCGAACACCGGGACACTGACCGGCAGCAGCACTAAGGCGAGCCAGCCGTTGCCCCAGGACGCCCCCTTCTGCCCAGCGCCGGCCGGGGCGGGCGCCGGCTCAGGCGCGCGCGCCACGGGCGGCACTGGGCAGGCCGCCAGCGGGTGCACGTGGATAGGCGGGCCAGATGGGGACTCCGCGCAAGGCCCGGGACGCTGCGCGGGACCTAGGCAACCGTGTGCTCCCTCCCCGAAGGCCAGCACTGCAGGCTCTTTTCTTCTCCCCGCGTCCCGTGCAGGACGCTTTGTTGTTAACACAGTGTCGGCTGTCGTTTTCTCCTGACGGGAACCGCCCAGTCTGGGCAGCGTGGCGTCCAGTGGACGCCGCGCTTCCTGGTGCCCCAGTGCCCCCTGGCAAAAAGCTTCGCATCTCCTCCCGACCCATGGCAAAAAGCTTCGCAGGAGGGGCGCTCTCCGAACCCTTCCGAACCCAAACCGTTCCTTATTCCAGCGTCATGACTGCAGCCGTGCGAGATCTCTGGAGAGCATATTTCTACTCGCGGCGATAATGGGCGTTATTGGGAGGGAGGGCTGGAAGTGGGGGCATAACTTGATGTCCCTTCCTCGCCGTATGGGTCCAGTCAGCACCACAAACGCACTGCGGCCATGCCGGAAACGCACTGGGGAGAGGGGGGGCGGGCGGGAACCGTGAGGCTGTAGGTGGGGGGGGAGGGGGCGAAGGGCGTCACGCTGTGGGGAGGGGGAGGGTCGGGGGCGACGACAGGGGCGAACAACCGAGAGGCGGGCGTTGCACGCATTCGCCCGGGAGCCTCACCGAAAGCGTGTACCATCCTCGGCGCCCCTGGATATACATGTGGATTGCCTCCCCCCTGGGCCATTCGCCCCCATCGTAGCCTCCGAGGGGGGAGGGGGGCAAGGACGGGAAGGGGGAACCATCATGCGCGTTATAGGAAGGGAGGAGGAGGAGGGCGAGGAGGGCGAGGAGGAGGAGAAGGAGGGCGAGGAGGAGGAGGAGAAGGGCGAGGAGGAGGAGGCGAAGGCAACAGAGGCACTGCGCTGCTCCGAGGGCCGCGGGCCGCCCCGCGCCTCCGCGGGCGGCCGCGCCGCTTCCGCCGCGGCGCCCGGCGTCGGCCCGGTGATGGGCGCCGCCGCCGCGGCGCCCTGCGCGGCAGCTCGCCGCCGCCATCGATCGGTCGATGGCCGTTCGTCGTCGCTCAGTCGGCGATCGGCCACCGCCGCCGCCGTCGCCGCCGCCGCCGCCGTCGTCGTCGTCGTCGTCGTCGTCGTCGTCGTCGTCGTCGTCGTCGTCGTCGACGTCGGCGATCGGTTGTCGTCGTCGTCGGCGATCGGTTGTCGTCGTCGTCGTTGTTCGTCGTCGTCTTCCGTCGTCGTTCGTCTGTCCGGTTCCTCCCTCTTCCTGCCTTCCTCCCTCTTCCAGAGCGGCGGCGTCGTCGCCTCTGCGGCCGCCCCTCCCCCCTGCGCCTCATCACCGAACCCTTTCGCAGCTTGCGGGGCGCAGGAGGTAGGAGGGATGAGGATGGAAGGGGAGGAAAGTGGCAGGACAATCTAGGAGGGAGAGTTTGGAGGGAGGAGGAGCGAGGTGGAGGATGGGCAGAGGGAGGGAGGGACAGATGGAGGAAGGGAGAGGAGGAGGAGGAAGAGGAGGAGGAGGATGAGGATGAGGAGGAGGAGAAGGACAAGTGTAAAGTCGACCATGTTGCAATAAACCCTCCACCTAATTTCCGTCGTCATAGGCCCCTACAAAAATTCACTTTCACTGCGGGAGGTGGCCGGTTGGAAGACAAACGTATGAAAATGAATAACCGTGCCAAAGCACCAGTCCTGAAAACTTCAACACAACGAATCAATGAAGTTGTTGTGCCCTGACAGTCTTACATCGTGCCAAAACACCGTTTCTGAGGCGCCAACCATACGTCCATACGAAGCCCTGAAACTGCTGTGAACACTTAAGACCAATGTGTGCGGCGCTGGAGCGAGAACCACATGTTCAAACAACATCCGCGCTCGATCAATCAAACTCTTCGAACGTTTCGGACGAATGTGCGCGGTTCTGGGGCGCAAACCGGAACACAGCCCGCCCTCCATCCGCGAAGCTCCTGCAAGCTCGTCGGACGAATGTGCGCGGCGCTGGGGGCGAAAACCACAGTTTGAAAACGGCCCGCACTCCTAGAGGAAAGAGAACTATGCACATACACCGATTCTGGCCAGGCCCACCATGAGCCCAGGATCGGTGCATACGCCATCCTGCCTTGGCCAGGAGGGCACATGCACCGATCCTGGGCCCAGGATGGGCCAGGCCAAGATCGGTGCATGTGCATAGTTCTCTTCGCCCGAACTCCATCCGCGAAGTTCCAGTACATCCCTTGGACGAGCGTGCGCGGCACCGAGGCGAGAACCTCATTACAAAAACACGGCACGGCCCGCCCCCCGTCCGTGGAGCTGTTGCAAAATCCTCAGCTCGGGGATCTCACAGCCCCAGGTCTCGCCACGCGCCACCGCCAGGGAAACCTCAGCCTAGCGTGAGGCAGCAGGAAGCAAACACGCAAACCCGTGCGACGCACAGAACGCCAGCGCAACGCTGCCTCGGCGCCTGCCCGCGCGACCCCCGCACTAGAGATCGCAACATGGCGAATCGGGGCTAACCGGCCTCCGTACTCGTAGCGCCACACGCATCTCGTTCGGTCCCCAAGTTGGCGTGTACCAGAATACCTGCATTGCTTCTTTTCCCAAAACGAGTGGAACCCATTACAACACTAGCTTTTCGAGGACACGAAAAACGATAAGTGACACAAACATCGATACGAATGGTGGCGCAAAAAAGAACACGCATGGTGGCACGAAAAGATGGAAACTATTGTTTTATAGCTGGTGGATAAAAAAAGTTACCCTGGGGGGACGCGGAGGGGGAAGGGTACCGGTTACGGGGGCCGCGGCGCGCGCCGCCTACGTCGTCGTCGTCGTCGTCGTCGCCGTCGTCGTCGTCGTCGTCGTCCAAGCCCACAGTGCCCGTGCACACAACGCGGGCTCTGTACACCACACTGCCTTTGTGCACTGAGTCCCTACAGGCATG